CATGTGGTTATCGCGCTAATAGCTACTGATGATCGTTATGGTTGTGTTCCTTCTTGATCCTCCTAGTCATCCACCTGGTCACGTGTCGGCACACTGTTTTCCCATTCCGCTTCTTTTCTCCCCGCGGTCATCTCTACCATATCCTGTGGGGGTCGCTTTAAAATCTGCGTTGACATTGGGTAAGACTGGCGTTCGACCAGCGGTCCTTATGCTTCTGTTACTTCTTCTTCATCATCTCTATCTGTAGAAGCTTCGTATGCAAGTGTTTGCCACTCCTGATTTCGACGTTACCCTACCGACACATACCCGGGTGACCGTGGTATCATGTCCGCCGGCATCCATTGCTCGAACGGCTTCCCCTGTTGGATAATCACCTCTTGATCGGTTGGGTCGTTAGGGAGGAGGTACGTAAGCATTCCGGGTCCGGTCATAGCCGTGGCTGCCCAACGTGCGTGGCGCGTTAACCACAATATCGACTGCAGTGGCCCCCGACCAACACTGACCTCCACCGAGTCACCCACCGGTATCGCCAAATACTTCTCATCCGCATCAATTAGTTGTATCTTCATCCCATACGGTGATCTCCTACCTTCCAGTTTAATTCTGACTTCGTCCGGCAAGCACACTGTTCCGTCTGCCAGGTCAAGGCGTATTCCAGCCGGTACCATGAAATTCATCCCTAGAGTTGGTTTTTGTCCCACTTGGTCACCCACATATACATCAAAGTAGTAAACCAATGAGCCATTCAGCGCGATCTTCACCTTTGTGCGGCCTTCTGCCATGTATGAATTTTCTCCGATACCCACGCATTCTTGCTTCTGACTCTCATCTATGACACAGCCAACCTTACGAGCAAATGTGGTGTCGATGATTGAGACTTCAGCTTCCGAATCATACAATAAGGTGGCCTTCTCAGTGTTGATTTTTCCTCCCGCCTTGGCTTGCCTGAACTACTTGTTTGGAGTACGGTACTTCCAGAAACCACGTGATTCGCCAGGAGACAACTTGATTTCCATCTTTGTAGGTGATCGTGCGCATTCCATCCGGTCGCCGCAAACTTGCAATTGATGGAAAAGAACTAGAGTCCAAATCACGTGTACTGAAATTCCGGCCGGTCAGACGATTAACCATGTTATCAGCCCCTCCTTTCTCAATGAATGCATATATGCATAGCCTAGAACGCTCGGCTCGTACCAGGTTCCAACCTGGCGAGCGTTCTGGTTTAACACCTTCTCAGCGTCGGGAGGAAGCGTTCTGGTGTGTTTGGTCGGCACGTACCACTTGCGAAGCATATTGTAAAAATTCTCCATCGGGCAGTTGCCCTCGTCTTGCACTTCTCCACACGCTGCACATTCGCAGAAACCCATTGTCGGAGGGGCGACCTCGGCGCCCGCATTTCTGACAAGTCAGACATTTCCAGCATTTCCTGTCATCATGTCTTTTGGACCCACAATTAGTGCACGACTTGTGCCCTTCTGCACGATCGTGATAACGTTCACGGTCATTCGATCTTGGCTTAGTCGGACGATCACTTCCCCAGTCCTTCGTATGGTCGGCTGCTGTGGCGCTGTAAACACGTCGCTGTTCTACTTCTGATTACGCACTGCTTACATCTGATTCCGACGAACTGATCTCGCCCCACGTGGATTCCACGCACAGCTCGAGCCGGTTTGGATGGACTTGGAGAGCATGACAATGCTGAACTGATCGGGAGATTGCCTTTGCGCTTTTGCATACGCTCATTTGTGTGCTTTGCAAGATGGTGGTCATTCAGTGTCTCGATATAGTGTTCCACGTGTTCTCGTCGATCAGCGACGTTCCCGTCCTTCACGTGGATTTTCGCTCGCATCCCAGCAACGTTCAACCGATAGAGGTATTTTAGCAAGGGTTCATCGGCACGCTTGCAGGCGTGGTAATACTGGCGACCAGCAGAGATGCCGCGTCCACGGTATTGTAGTAGAAAACTCTCTAGCAAGTCTTTTCTAATTATTGCGTGTCGATCGGCTTAGCTGGGAGTGCCAGTTTCGTGCTGGCTTGTTAGCAAATCTTCAAAAAAAAAAAAAAAAAAAATCAAATATTTTTCCGAATCGGGGGCTTGGTCACGCAAGAAAGCTGATTTGAACTTTCGCACCCAGCTTCGAGCGCGGTAATCATCGTGATAGCGGCCTGAGAACTCCTTTAGATCGGCGATCGCAGGCATGCAAATCCGCTGCGCAGCAAATCCTTCCCTCATAATGGCTTCCGTAGTAGCCAAGTGAGGTCGACGGACGCCGTCAATGTCGAGGTCGTCAGGGTCAAAAGTGTTACCGCGACTACCATGCGAGTCGGCCGATTCCATGTCCGTGTCTGGCATACCTACCCCGAACACCGTGTAGTTGGGGTTGGGGCGACTGGTCGGCTCAGAATGTAGCGGCCGTCGCTCTTGGTCTCGCATAAACTTTTCCATGGCCTTTGCAAAGTAGATTTTCATCTGTTCGGGGTCATTCGTAGCATCGACTGGCTCTGTGGTTTGTCTCAACGGTCCGGTGGTTGGAGTCAAATGCTCGTGGTGGTCACGTAAAGTGCTGCATCGGAAGGTCCAAACGACGATCGCTTTATTTCCAAGCCGTCGCTATCGTCCGCAATCGACTCCACCGAAGGGTAATGTGACGACCCCCCTGTGTACAGTCTTTCTCTTTGACCATGATACTGGTCGTGACCTCGCGGTCAGCGGAGTCAAAGCTGCCGGTCAGTGGGACTAGCGCTTTGAACAGTGATCGGCTGGCCGTGATCACTTGATCCAGGTCGCAGTCAAGCAGAACCTGCGCGTCAAACGCCCCCCGGGCACAAATCCTGCGCATTGTAGCAGTTGAATGAGACGTTGCACTGCTTCCATTTTTCCAGTGGCTGCTTGTGGAGTCGATGTCGGCCCCCAAAGCGGTCCGATCAGCTCCGGTTCCAAGATGGTCATCACTGGGTCTGCTGATAGCAACGCTTGAAGCTGGGTCCAGTGCAAACGACGTTGCAGCTGATCGATCTTTCAACCTTCCATCTTGACCGCTGCTGCCCTGCTCATTTCTTGATCATCACCCTCGGAGTCAGGCGCGCGTAGCTTAAGATCCGTAGCCTTCGATCCTTTTCTTTTTCTTTGTGTATGGTTTTGTTTTTAGACGAAACGTGTCCTACTTTGGCTGGACGTGTTTCATGACCGCGGATCGTACTGCAAAGTAAGACCCGCGGTCTCTGGAGGGACCTCAGGAGAGAAAGAGGTTTTTCTACTTCAAGATCATTTTGGCCATCTTCCTCTTTGAATTTCGATTCTTTCGAGCCCCTTCCAAAACTCTGCCGAATTGAGGTTTCTTTATAATCACGTGTCTGCGACGATCCCTTCTTCGCCGACAATTCCATCCCCGGTTTAATCTTGACCTTGGCATCTTTGCTCTGGGATTCACGGTGAAAACCCGAGGCATCAGAAGATCCGGGCACGCGCACCTTTGTGGTGGAGTGAGATTCGCTCATTCGCGTAGCGATCCTGACTCCCCACTTGCACCAGGACGACCGACTAACGGAGGGGGTACTCCGGACCGTGTGTCTTGTCTTTCCTTGTTCCTTCTCACCTTGTGTACCAATCGGCGGGCGGCTGCACTCTTCTAGGTGTCTTGAGGTCGATGTCTTGTCTTGACCGAGTTGAGGATAGGTGGGGTGTGGTCGCGTGGTGATTCTTCACACGGCCAACGGTTACTAGTGGCACTCTCCTGGAGTTGTCTGACCTTCCTTGAAGTCGCCTTGCCCAAATGTGGATACTGAATCCCCCTTGTTCTTCTGAACACTTGATCACCTTGTCTTTCTGATCACTTGAGCCGTCTGAAGACCTTGCCTTGTATGCTTGCCGCGTCCGATCGCGGGATAACTTGAATGAGTATACTCGTCCCTAGCCAAGCAATCCAGGGACAAACCTTGAGCAAACACGTAGACAGAAACCTTTTACGTCGGATAGCCACTAGCACTCCATCCCGGAGGAATGCTGATGCGTGTCTTTTGTAGGAAAATCAATACTAGTCGTTATTAACCTATTAGGGGCTAGAACTACGTTTACACTTCTCTTTATCTCAGTTGTCTGCTACGTTGTTCGCCTGCTACCACCCATTCCCTGTGCTTGAAGAAGACCAACTTAACTGCCAACATGACCGCTGGTCATCTTGCAGTGAACGTGACCATGAACACTGGCCATCCATCGTGACCGTGACCACTGGTCACCCATCTTGAACGTGACCACTGGTCACCCATCAAGACCGTGACCACTGATCACCCATCTTGACCATGACCACTGGTCACCCATCGTGACCGTGACCACTGATCACCCATCGTGACCATGACCACTGGTCACCCATCGTGACTATGACCACCGGTCGCCCATAGTGACCATGACAGGTCATTCATTCATCGTGACCTTACCGGTGGTCATAATCTTCGACCGCGACTGATGACTTGCAAACCGTCCCGCTTATCGTTGGGGGTCTCTGTAGCGGTCAGTCCCAAGACCGGCATGACGGGTCCCACATGCACTTACGAGATATTCAAGGCGATTGATCAAGATTTCCTTTGACCACTGCACCACAACTCAATCTGGATCACCGTCTTGAATAGCATAATTTAATCAATTCGTCCCCGGCATAATTGAGGAACTCGTGTTGAGTCCAGTCGTCAAGATTGGCCCTAGTGGCGACAGCATCGTGTGATCTGGTCTACGTCTCACGTGTTCGAGCCATCGCTCCATCCAAAATTTTTTTGGGGATCCCTTGGTATATTGCTGTGACGCTGTAACACATCGTCCACGCAGTCCCGCCTGCTCTCCGTCATCCATTGAACAACGACCGAGTTGTATTGTATTTTCAGAAGCTCGCCCGGAAATATAAGTCTAATTACCAGCCTCGGACGATGGTCTAGTGCGAGTCGGGCTACCCGATCCCCATCTGCAGTGGGGCTGTCGACTGTAGGAGAATTTAGTTGCTGGGGTTGGGCTACGCTGGTTCTAGCTGCTCCCACGCAGCGGCCTGGTCATTTAGATCTATACGATCACAGCTTTCGTCATTTTCTAGCATAAACATCGGCATCGTCTCGGCGCGGCCCCGCATAAAGTCGGTCGTGTTGTGCTTGTGTGACGCGTTAGCCTTACCTGTCTCTGCTTTCCCAGGAGAAGACTCATGCCCTCTTTTCCGGTCCATCAGTGGGACTTACCGTAGACGACTCGGCGGCGTCGTTGGTATTTTGTTTGAAACTAGTTGTCTCTCCACCGTAACTAGCGCGCGAATTATTTCTTGCCGCGGGTTTTCTGCCCTCAGAGTCAGAACTTTGTCCGCACTTTTCGGAGAGTAATATGTAACAGAATGATGCTGTGGTAAAATCGGCTGCGCGTCTTCGCCTTCTGCGAGGACCCCAGTAGTGCCCGATTTTAGCCCTAGTCCATTTTGCGCGTTGGTTGATTGCCTAGTCTCTTCCAATTTAAATTCTGGTAGCCGGCTCGTGTACCGTAAGTGCAGAAAAGGTGAAAAACGGCGCATATGATACTGTTGTACGAGCGGTATCTTCGATGGTGTGTCCAATTTGCCGGCCACCAATTCATCCATAAATTCCCTAATTGAAAGTTGATATTCCGCTGCTGTCCCAAATCCACTGCGATGACGTGTGACTGTGGTTGGAACATACTTGAAATATCCTCAGCCGTGCGAGTCGCCATCTATGCTCTCAATCACATAAATAGACCGTTTCAAGAATTTTCATGCTATTCTAAATGTATCATTCCCTCCTCACGTGTTATCGGTTACTATATCCGTTCTGAACGACGAGCTCCTAGCACAATCTATTCTATTACCGTACCTGCGACGCCGACTCAGCGCGTGTCATTCCCTTCCACCCTCAAAAGACATTGTCTAAAAGGTGCACTCGTTGATCGTGGGCAAGCTGATCTTCTAGACTAAAAAGGCCCGAAAATTTGATACCGCGTTTCAGGCAGGCCGTCAGGTGTTCAAGCGGTCTTTCCGAATCATCTAAGTCGGCGTCCACCGCCACTAGAACAATGGACATGGCAAGGCAGTTCCCGGGAGCAGGTGTAACAACTGTCCTTAGCCCCAGATGCATTTTCATCTCGGATATTGTTGCCGGGGGGTGGACTGACCTGGCTCCGATCGGTAGAGCCTTTGTTCGCCGCTTTCCAGACACTTGACCAGTTGACAAAAAGTTTTCCTCTCATTCCGCTTGAAGTCATTATTACCGGAACTAGTGAAATTGAAGCGAGTCCTCGCTCACGCCCAACCGTTTTGTGGTACGACTTCCGGGAAGACACGGTGATATGAGAATTTTTCTCCTGCACTTTCTCATCCTCTCGGATGTCTGATGTTAAATCGATCATCGAAAGGCTGGTGTCCGCTCCCCCTAATTGTGTCTTCATCTCATTCTCTGCCCATTGCTTCTCATCGTCCTCTGTTTGCCATTTTATATTATTCTCTTAATCTTCGTGATCCACTTTCTTTGCAGTGCTTGGTCTGGCCGGAATCACGCGGGAAGTCAAATTTCTTGAGCGCCGGTGTTAGATATCCGGGTTAAATAATGTTGCTGTTTTATCGGTTTGGGCCGAGGCTGTAGATGCTCGAATTTCCTCCTTTATTCGGCTTAGGTTGCGCTACTCACTGCGGGAGAGACGTTGAGCTCTATCGCTTGAGATGTACATGTTGCTTACCGATGCCGCGGGGGCATGACAGCTTCTTGAGCAGCTTCTTCTGCTGCATCCTGGACTGTGAACTGGCTCGCCGCCATAGATCTGGTTTCATCAAGACTAGAAAACGGTTTGGCTAGGTCCTTAAACTCTTCACGTCGTATTCTGTCACGACAAGTCCTTTTGGACCTCGTAATAAAGCATCGGTGAAGCTACACCGGTCTACTGTGTTACCTATGTTACCACTATAAAGCCTATGTCCAACATTCGGGTGCTTCACAATAATGGTAGCGCCAAACCAGAGGAGTTGCACCACACCAATTAAGAAATTAGGACAATCCGCCAGCTTAAATGCAACTTTCTAGATTGTGACGTCCGTGATTCCGGAGTATGAGTTTCCAGGTCTTCCATCTCGAATTCGGTCGGTATTCATGCCTTTAAAAATGCTACGATCCTGCCAACGGTACTGAAGCGGCTGAGGTTGTGTAGGTGTAATGGGTATTTTCACGTCTCCCTTGTGATTTTACATTCAGCCCTTGCTGTCTTTACCAAATAGAACCTTCGTCTAGGATGTGGGCGTTCTGGTGCCTAGGCACTACTCCATAGAACGGCACTCGGACTTCTTTGTGGCGTTCAGCTGTAGTTCTAGTAAAAAAATTAAATGTGTGATTTTACTTACTTGATCCTATCTAATAGTCATGGTCTGACTCAGCATACGATGGAGATCAGAAAGATTAATTCGCTCAAGCTCCGCATATTCCAGGAATTTCTCCGTTATGGCCTTTGTAGTCCGTCGAATTATTTTTATAACGCAAGCTTGATATAACTGCAAAATCATTTCTCCTTCGACTTGTGCTTATCTTGTACAATATAAGCACGGCCGCTCTTCAATTTTCAGTGCAGGGTGGATAAAGTCAGGCATGCGCCTGCAGGTCACTGTACCTTCGACTAGCTCCGCAATGATCGCCTAAACGTCATCTGTGCCTTCTCGTACTTGGTGCTGCCCTGCATGAGCAGTCGGTGCCGCACACAGTGATCTGAGACGATTAACGTTTTTCCCTGTGAAAGGAGAGGAGTCTAACATGTACTCTTTAAAACGTTAATTGAGATTTATAACTCGCGGCGTTGCCTGACGTGAAGCCGTTGCTCCGTTACGGACCACTCGAGACCGTAGATCTAAACTGGAGCTTAGAGCCATTTGTGTTGGGTGGAGAGACAACAAATTACCCTTTGAATGCGTGCTTTGTCATTAACAGTTCACGCGATGTCGCTGTCTCCATTTTCTGCCAGTTTGAAAATATCCCTCGCCCTTGTACTACGAATACTTGCTAAATAGCACGATTAAAGCTGCATCGTCCTCTGCGGTCAGAGCCGGAAAGCGCTTTCTCGCCGCAGGTATACCACCAACTGGACTGGCGCTGCACTATAGGCTTTAGCCAACATTGCCTTATTTGTGGTGCGGCACTCTTCTATTTAATTTACGTTCCAATTGACTCAGCCATATCCTCCACCAGCGCTTCAAACGTATTTGACGATCATATAGTGCGCTGGCGTTGCTGTCTTCCAGGGGCTGGCGGAATTAGAGTGGCTTTTACTGCCGTACCGTCTCTTATTGTATCCCAGTCCTCACCTGCTTTTTCCAGGTTGACCTTTGCCCCCTCTTGTACGGAGCCGTCAGGGTCTAAGCGACCGGCCTGACAAGGCTCAAAAGAAGTACAATCCCGCGGAATCGCCGATAAACTGCTCGGATATGGCGATTAGACCACTGTGTTTGACCTGTTGCTCCTATCTCTCGCTTGGGTGATACTACCTATAAAAATACTTGTCTCCGTTTGCGTCACCCGCAATTCGTGAATGCTGTTTCCACTTAATCCGAATGAGCATTCCGTTCCCAACGGGCCTGATACGTGTGGCTCTATCACCTCCATTTCCATTCCTCCCTCGGGAGGGGACAGGAGTTGGGGGGGGCATCGCGCACTTGTATAGGTTGCATTATACCAAAAAGGATCTCATGATAATCCTTATTGATCAATGGAACACTGCTTCGCAGATTAAGGAGTGGCCAGACTACTACCTTGTATTGATTGACGGTCAGGTATAAATTCCATATTTGTCTGGTGCGTTCATAGCTGCTGCCCCAGCTCACGCCACCAATAAGGACGTTTTTGGCCGAAAATTTAGAAAAATTGTGTGCATGAATCTCCTCAGCAGGGGACATGGTCAGAAACTTCTTCGCCGCAAAGCATTGATTAGTTGTCCACGGCGAGGACCTTATCAACGCTAGATTTTTTCGTGAAGAAAGCGTCGATGCAAAGCTTTTGTGGGCACGGACCGCCGTGCATGAGATCCTCCCACCCTTATTATTTCCGCGTCGCGAACAAGAAGCGATGGTAACTATGTCGTCGACTTTGCGAGGTGCAACAGAATGAGACATGACAAGAGATTTAAATACTCTGGCTGAATTACTTAAATTCGTACAAAGATTGTTACTGCCGTAAATGAGAATACATGTAAAGGCTTCCCTCCGATAAGTTTTAATCTCGAGTCGATTTTCTATTTTTGCGTCCACGAACCTCGTTATTTGACCAGATGCTGTAAGCTCTTAGTTCTGAACAAATAGAGCAATAAAATTAAATAATGAGAAATTGTTTTTGCGTTATCGGTGAAAAAACTACTTACTCCACATGTCGAGGTTGGTTTGGGGGGTATATGGTGCGAGAGGTTGCGAAGGACTATATAAGCAGCTTCGTGACGAAACTGGGCTATGTCGAGCAGGGAGCAGGAATCACAAAGGAGGTTCATCGTCTCGGTAATCGAAAATTTATCAATGAATGCCTCATCTTCATGGTTTTATCCATCATCATCTGCATTTGGAAAATCTTTAAGAATCTCTTTGTCGGTAAGCTTAGGATGAGCAGTCTCATCCTCTTCGTTAAAAGTGAGTAGCTCCAAAGGCCTTCCTAAAATTTCGGACACGAAGCTTCTTGACCTGTGCTATCATCTATAGCTCCAGTCTACTTTTTCCGCCTCGACCTCCGTTGTGCCATCTTTACTACTTTCCACCTCCACTGCACTTAAAATTACCGAACAAGTAAAAAAACCGTTGTGGCTGAAGCAGTTGGCAATGGTAGTGCTTTTAGTCTCTATTTAGTCAGCCACCGACCAGCGCATGGCAATAAGTCAATCGAGTTTGTGGTGGAGTGTCGATCGCATCCTGAAACGATCCCGACTCTCCACTGGCGCTCGGACGAGGGGAACCCCGATTCCGTGTTCTGTATGTTCTTGCTCACCTTGTGTACCCGTTGTTGATGCGGGTTGCGCTCTCTTTGGTGGACTTGAGCTGAAGATGAACTTTACCGTCTTAGGGATAGGTGTTGATCGGGTGGAAATACTTTACCTGGTCAACGCAGGTGCGGATCGCGTGAAAATTCTTCACTTGATCGCTTGTAACTTGGGCGCTCTCCCAGAGTCGCCTTTGCCGGGGGTGATGCTTGATACGAGAGCCTTCTGACCAATTGAGCCGTCTCGCGATCTTGAATCTAAACTGTAAGGTTCACTGCGTCCAATCGCAGTTGAGGGGGGGGTGAGAATTGACCTTACGCCCGGCCAAAACATCCAAGGGCGAAGTTCACTTGAGACGTGGGCGACTCTCTATTCAACGGGAGGCCAAAGATCCTGCCCGGTAGAAGTCGACGCGTGTCTTTCGTTGCAAATTCAATTCTGTTTAATGTCAACCAACCAAGCCTAAAACTTATGACTATGCCTATCTGTTCGCTAGGTCGGCTGTCTATGTCATTCTCCTCTTACATCATGTGGTCCACATCATATAATCCATAGTGGATCGCCCCAAACCGGATCGCGGAGTACCGGATCGCGGAGTTCCAGATCGCAGAGTACCGGATCGCGGAGTAACAATTCGCGGAGCACCGGATCGCAGTGTGCGATCCACGTCGGGTACGCAATCTACCTCGTTCATCATGACCCACTCCGCTTGAACTTTAACCCTTCGTGACCGTTAAGTGGGTTACTCTGCATAATTTCCACAGTCATTTCCTGTCACTCAGTCGTGTGACACCATCATCCGTACCAACGGGCCCATCTCCCTACGCGCTCCACCAAACAAACTGGTTTCGTACCCAAGGCGGATCACGCGATCCACAATTCCTTCATTCTTCCTTCACGCTTCTCCACAATCATTCCCTGCACAGGCGCTCGATATACAGTGTCGATGGACGGTGCACCCACTACGCCCATGGATCCTGCATCACCTGCACCTCCCACATTGTATGCCGATAGCCCGATTCCGTCTTCTACTCCGCCGCCGAGTCCCCCCGTTAGAAGGCCGGTTGTGTTGCCGTCGTCTCGGGTGAGCGCTGCATCCTTGTTAAGTTTTGATACTTTACCTGCGGGAATCGCAGCGCTCTACGGTCAACTGGATCTTCATGCCACGGTTGTTGCCGATTTCCACTCGTTGGAGGAGCTATGTCAAGACCTGAAACTGCAGATCGGACGACTGCAAACGCAGTTGCAATCGTACGTCGAGATCGCCCTGCGCTTAAAATCTTTGTCCAACAACGTTATCTTGGCCTCGGGACGAATTGCTCAGAGATGATCGAGAGGCTGCACGGGTTCCAGACGGAGCTGGCGCAGCGCTTGGGTCAAAATTACGTCGTCTGAGAGATCAAGACGGCTCTCTCAGAAGCCGAAAAGAAGTTTGAACAAGTCTAGGATCTGCGCACTTGTGAATCTTACGCCACCCAACAGCAAGTGAAGCGATAACTTCGCGCCAGGCTGCTTCGGAACAGAATTCTGGTTGCAATTTCCAAGCAGCATCCGCCAAGGCATTCAAGTAAAGAAACTCTTCCACAGAGTTGACAAGAAGCTTGACACGACCAGACTGGCGTTGGAAGACGTGTCGAAGACCCATCAAGACTGCCTCCGTAAGCAAGAGCTCGTAAAGGCGGAGCTACAAAGGATGCAATCGGATCTCGCAGACCGGGACGCCCAGGTGGATCGTCTGCGTAATCAAGCATCGAACTGGGAACAGCAGTGTCACTTGGCTGTTCGCGATCGCGACACGATCTGGACTTATCTGGCTCATTTGGCTTCTGGATCACTCCTCCTTCCCTCAAATGTACCGTCCACGGCCTCCGCTACCGCACCAACTGGCAATCTATCTTAGTCCACGGATCCTGGTATCTCGATCAAGCGTCCCCGCACTGCGAAGCTGACGCAGGCCAGAACAGAAACGGTGAATACCTTTGAATGCAAATCAGCCAGTGAGTCTTCGCTATCTACTGGACCAGTGCGATCTGCAAAATCCTCCGGATCCGGTGGGATACCACGCGTCTCTTTCGCAACCCTCCAGATCAATACGCTCAGACGGGTCCGTAGCTACGTCAGGATCAGCACGGACTCCAACAACTTAAGGCACTGCGGGTAAAAACCGATCCGCCTTCCAAACAGGAAGTACACGGGCCCAGAAGCTTCCAGCCAGCGTTCCATCGCTCTCCGATACAGAGTCGTTCAAATCCTTTGAAGAAAATATTCTGGCCGCCTTGTCTGGATCTCGCTCTTTTTTGCGGCGCCGTGGATCGTGGAGCAATGTTCAACCTTCGGCCGGATCGGTTTTTGCCTTAATTACAGTGAACTCCCCCCACCCCAAGTCTGGATCGTTTCCACTTCTGAGTGAATCAGCACCAACTGCCAAGCCCTGAGTCTTAAATTTCTTTGGCGCAGCATCAAGCGACTCCGACGGATCGGTCAGCACGATCGGCAGTCCGCAGGACCCTGAGAATGCCGTGCTTCCGCCCGCGGAATACGACCGGTCAGTCCCGAGCCGGATAACTCGCGCTGAACGGATTCCCGAATACCGCGATCGGGTACCCTGGTCTCACCCCCACGTACACCCGTGGTCGGTTCATCGTTATGGCCTGACCTCAGTGGCGGAGCTCGACTTGGATACCTTGTTCAAGCACCTGATACGGCCGGCAGGGTACATATTTCCAGCACCCACCGCGCCTCGATCTAAAGCTTCTCAGCCTGAATCTGAGTGGATCCCACGGCTAATTTATTCGGCTCAACTGATAGCGTTGAACCACCAAGAGCCTTGGAACCAATACCATAGCCAAGTCCCACCGGTCCCGTTTCACGCGACTGGCTGGTTCGCAGAGTTGTCATCCGCGTAACGAGACTTTGAGACCCGGCATCGACGGGCGCTGTGGGAAGTAGCCCACGCCATATATTTGCCGGCCGAGCAGCGCGATCGCGATCCGGAGTTGGCGCGGATCTATCAGTAGCGCAAACAACGGCGATCGCGATGCGGACCCCGACGAAAAACCGTATTGCCCTTTATCCTTCAGGGGTTGATCGACGGACAGTGCGATTTGGACTGTTGTTGGATCCGTTCTTCATGCACCTCCCGTCACCGCTCGAGAAGCGTCCATAATACCCGGGTTTGAGTGATCATAATAAAACGTTTCCGACCTGATCTCCACGTTGGCGCGTTTGGATACAGCTAAACCCTGGCGCAACCAGTTTCGACCCTGCATCGAGGATCATCCCGGGTCGTCGATCGCTCGCTTGTCGGGTAAAAGATTTTCGAAGTAGTTTATAGCGATCCGACAGTCCATTTTAATCGGTCAACATATATCCACCTTTTTTCCTCGTTGCTCATCACTTGACTTCATCTCATCTGCCTTACTAATTAATCATTGTAATCGGGTTTGACTTCCTGGATCGCCACACACAACCCCTTCCTTTGTATCCACTTGAAACCTTTTTGCAGGCAAATTCCGATTCGACACACCGGTTATTCATCCACCGCTGCTTCGTGTGATTGCATCACCTCGAAGCGATTCTTGCTGACTCGATCGCGATCGAACTCTTGCAGCAATGCCCCACAGTTCGAGTCGACCTCATCTATCCAAGTCGAATCGACCGATCCCTTCCATTGCACCAAATACTGGCTGCACTCTGCAGAAAACGGGTCCGTCTGCCAGATCGACCATATCCGATGTCTTCTCGACTTCAAATTCATTTTCATCCAATGTGCGTTCCCAGCTATTTTCGGTAGCAGGGATTCGTCAAAAGCTACGCGATCTGCCTCTCCAACGTTCAACAAGTTTTTTGGCCGATCCGGTAATGTTTTCACCCGCGTAAGAATGAATATATGCGCCAACAGGAATAATCGATACGGTGTATCCGATATCTCTTACCGTACTGCGTGTCTTCTGCAAAGTTTGCTAACCCGAAATGGTCAATGCCACATGTGTGCCAGCTTTAATGCGCATCCTTCTTTCACTCGATCCAAATAGAGCCACACTTGCGGTCTAACTTCGATCCCATGTGGTCCGTCCTCAACGTTGTGTTGATCGGTCCGATCTCGGATCGCAATCCGTAGACGATCCTTACGGCTTCTCTTGCTCTCTGGTAATGACGTTTCATACGATACCGCCACCTCCTTGGATCTTGGTCCCGTCGTTTGGTGCTTCCCAAAGCCAAATTCGCTTCCAGCGTCGATCGTGGGTCCCAACCGTGGATCAAGTAGAATGGCGTATCGCCCCGTATGCGATCCTGTTCCATAGGAATGGCGAACGTCAACCTCTCAGCGTATTCATCCCAATCCATCTGATCCGTATCTGTGACGTACATCTTCAACGCCCTCGTCAAAGTCTGCAACATTCTTGCTGCTGTTCCATTCGCCTGGGTTTGGCATGCCATAGTAGCACGCTGTTTCTGCCCCGCGATATGATTGAACGCTCGAAAAAAATCGGACATGAATTCAGGCTCTCGATCATGACAAATCCCTTCACTGGCTCCAAATCTTCGAATCACACACTCTTCGTAACTTTCGGCGATCGTTTGAGAAGTTCTGGAGGAACTCGCCTTGGCGATTACGTACCCTGAGAACTGATCTACCCACAGCAACTACTCAGTGTTTCCCTTGAAATGTCGCGGCTACGATGGAATGTGATCCATACCGATTATCTGAAACGGAAAGGTGGCTTGGACATTCCCCGGCGATTCGCCGTGCAGGACAGATATACCTCTTCCCGTCGTGCAATCCACACATCCTCCCACATAACGCTGGACACTCCGATAGAGTCTTCTCCAGTGGAGCGTGGACCGGATTCGTTGGTATTTTCTGCCGATACCTTGGTGTCCACCCTCCAAACTTGTATGATAAAGTTGCAGGAAATCTAGCTGCACTAGTTCCGGTACCACCAAACGTATCAATTCCACGCGGCTATCTGGATCTTCCGTCGATTTCGCGGGCAGAAAGTCAGTAGTCCGCTTTCGTCAACTTTTACATCGAACGCGATCCGAGCAAATAACTTTGCTGTTTCGATACTCGACTTCGTCATGTCTCCGATCAGGAATTCCTTCAGCTTGGCGATTAACTCTCTTCTTCCTGTGCTTGCTTGATCCTCTAGATTCTGATCCTCCATACGACTTCCTCTTGAATTACTTCAGGGCATCTGTGTCTCCTTACGGCTGATCTAGTAACGGTAGATATTTTCACGACCTGATCGACACTTTTGGGTGTCAATAACTCGTCCAACCGTTTCAATTAATGTAAACTCTGACGATCTTGATCGGATACAGTCGTCGTGCCTTTCTCTTGTTGTAAAACGTTGCTTGCCAGTCGATCGGCACTCTGATTCCATCTTCTCTTTACGTGTAAAAATTCATGGATCGGTCACGATCGGATATTTTTCATAGCTTTGTGATGTAGCAGCTGTAATCCGGGCGCCTTGCAGTCAATTTCTCCGCGCATCTGCCGGATCACTAAGTTAATGTTGCTGCAAATGATAATGCGCCCCCGCGCCTAATCGGCCAGAAGATCGAAACCTAGTAGCAGGCCACGATATTCGGCTTCGTTGACTGTCGGGTCTGTTGAGTATTCGGCTGCGACATTTATGATCTTCCATCCCGGAAGTTTTTACACTATTGCACTATACGCCCCGCCTTTTCGTTTGGTTCGAGCCGATCCACCGAAATTGACCACCATAATACTTTCAACCCTCCTCCACCGTTGGTGGTAGCATACTGATAGTATGCTTCGGCTGTTTATTCGGGGCGATCGCGATCAACATCTCGTCAACACCTTCGCGCGGGGTTATGCTGGTGACAAGCATACCAAGGATTTTACCTTCTCCCTTTTCACAATTCTTGATCTCCAGCGTCCTATTTGCTAGCAACGCCGCCCATTTTATCAGCCTCCCATTAAGACCTAAAGATTGTACCAGCCAGGCCAACGTTGAATGACGTGTGGGTACCTTATCTCCTTGTGCTACCAATATAGTGAAGCCGATATCTCGGATGCGCAGCAGGGCTGAAACTTTTGTCTCAACCATTCAATAGTCAATCTCGTTAGGTTTTAGCGTTCTGCTAGTGACCGTTATTGGCCAGTATATTCCATCGTGCTCCTGTAGCAAAGCTGCAGATACTGCCCATTTGCTAGCATAGACCACGATCACTAAAGGCCGATCCGGATCAAAATGTTTTAGAGTTGGAGCCTTAGCGATCTTATTGTCAACCTAGTGAACAAAATAATCGCCTTCTCCCATCGACTTCTGTCGGTGCAAAAAGGATCGCCCCCAGCAACACCGGAAGGCGTTGGATCTCCCCTGTAACACTGTTACGGTTTGGATCGTGATCACCAAAACACTTCCTGTCTTCAGCTCTCTTTTAATTCCGTTTTGCAGATTTCGCCTCATCCATACGTCGGATCTCGTGGAAGTCGGCTTCGCGTCATTTGTTTAGCACTGATGCATATATCGCAAAGTCTTCAATGAATTGGCTTTAGTATTTTAATCTCTATAAAAACGACTGCATCGACCGCAGCGTTCGAGGAAACGGAATGTTGACCAGCGATCCGAGAGATTTCGGGTGGGCTTCCAATCCAGCGAGTGATGCTTAATGACCGAGATAGTCCACCTTGCGTCGTCCTCAAAACCTTTGGTCAGGCTGATCGACAAATTTCACTTATCGCATGCACGTAGCAATTTATCCACTCTTTCGTACAAATCGGTCCACGATGTAGCTGGAATCAGTATATCATCGATGTACAACTTCGTCCAAGCAAAGATGGTGTCCGACTGGTGTCCGGCTTTCCTTTTGTGAAAACGCCGATCTGCTTGGACGATTCCTCGGAGTAAGCGCCCGGATTAGCCCCGATCTTCATATATCCATACAATACATTGTCGATCAGGCGTTGGTAAATCTGTGGATCGTTTTTCAACCAAAACGGCATCCGTAGCCATTCATACAAGCCTAACGGTGTAATGAATGCTGAAATCCATCTTGCTCGTACTGTCATCTCCACCACCCAAAATCCGCTTGCCGTGTCCACTGAGCAGTACAACATCGCTTAGTTTACGTCTTGTAAAAGTTCATTGATCAGTGGCATTGGGTACACCATCATCCTTGTAAACTGTTTTACCCGTCGATAGTCGATGCACAATCGAATGTCCTCGCCATTATTTTTGATGATAATGACGTCGGCAAGGCCCAAGGTGATGTGGAAGGTCAAATAATCTTGGCCGAGAGCAGTCCTTAAACAAATCCACTAATTTTTTGCGAAACTTGGGTGCTACTGGCCGTACGCTTTGCGCGATCGGGATCGCTCCTCCTACGTCATTATCGCATATCGCCCCTCGTGTGCTGGACGGAGTGCGTTTTCTTTATCAATTAGAAGGTGCTTGTTTCTCCAGATCAGTTGTCGTAATCGTTCTTGGTCATCAGTCAGCGGTACACCTGGATATTGTCGATCGCAACTTCGGTAGTGAGCGTATCAATGTCGGTTTGTACCGCTATGTGCTAAATCACATCCTCAGCGTACAACTCCCCACTATCATGACTACAAATAGCGACGTCGATTCCCTCGCGATTCGGTAATTACTCGGATCAGGCTCATCGTCAATCGTCACACCTGGGGAAGATCCGGCCTTTTTCCTCGACTGATCCCCTGCTCCTATGTTTGTCGTAAGCTCGTGAATTGTATGAACCACGGGCCTGAACCTTATCGATCGGTGATCCACTTGTCGATCGTCGATCGTATCATGAGATCCGTCATGTGATTTATTGGAAATCCTTTCCTTTTTCGTTGCGAAATCTGCCAATGGCCCCCTGGTGTTCGAACGCTTCCGCCCTTCTCCTCGATCGTTTTTACGACACAAGACAGTAGATCCACACGTGGAATCACTTCCTAGTCTACGATCGGGCTGTCCTTTGATACATTATGCTCCGTAGGCCGACTTAAAACTTTCCTTGGCGTAGGGTAGTTCAAGTGATCCACAAGCGGTCCGCGTGTGCGCTCGGCACTTCTTTCTCTCTTTCATTCGTAGCTTCAAATGCTAGTGTCTGCCACTCTTTGTACCGTCGCGATCCAAACGAGACGTAGCTTGGGTATCGAGGTACATGTCCGCAGCCATAATCCAGCCTAAAGCCGGTCCGTAGCCGAGAATCATTTCTTTGTCGCCGAGGTTTGTCATCTGCCAATACATGGTCCGACCTATCCAGTGGTCGCGGATATTACCCATGTAGAATTTAGCCTCATCCAGAGTTTGGCGTTAGACTAGACGTTGCCGATCGTTATCTCCGCCGAACTACCGACCGGCAGCACCAAGTGCTGTTTTGGGGTCACGATCGGATGCATGGATGATCCGTACAGAGGTCTGCGTCCTGCTAGATGAATCCTCACTTTATCTGGCAATACCAGCGTTCCGTCAGCCAAATCCAGACGTTTACCTGCGGACACCATAAAGTCCATACTTAGGACCACATATTGACCGACTTGATCACCTACCCACACGTCAAAATAGTATACCAGCAATCCATTTGGCGTGACCCTTGATCTTGGTACGTCCTTCGGTCAGGTACTTGTTTTCATCTATCCCCACACACTTTTGTTTCTGATTCTTGTCAACGACACATCCTACCTAACGAGCAAATACAGTGTCCACGATCGAGATCTCAGCTCCTGAGTCTAATAGCATTGTGGCCTTATGTTGTTAATCTTCCCAACCACTTTGGCTTGCTTAAACCATTTTCCTGGCGTAGGGTATTTCCAGTATCCCCTTGACTTGCCCGGCGCTAGGACAAGTTCCATCTTGATGGGCGATCGGGCGTACTCATCATGTCTTCTAACACTCGAAATGGAACGCAGACAGTTTTAAACATCACATGTATTTTGCAGATCATCCTGCTTGTTTTTTTCTTCCGTTGAACCCCTTTCTCTGCACAACTGCACATACGCAGAGCCTAGAACGCTCGGCTCGTACCAGATTCCAAACTGGCGAGCGTCCTAATTTAGCATTCTCTCGGCTTGTTCCGTCAACATCCCTGCATGCTTGATAGGCACATACTACTGACGGATTATGTTGTAAAACTGTTTCATCGGGCACTTTGCTTCCTCGTGAATTTTCTTGCACACGGAACACACTTAGTAGCATTTGTCCGCAGGATGCCCCTTACGTCCACACTTCTGACACGTAAGTCTTTTGCAACATCCGCGATCGTCATGTTTCTTCTACCCACAGTGTGTACACACTGTGTGATGCCTTCCACGATCGTTGTGGTGATCGCGATCGACTTGTACTTCGAGTGAGTGGTTTTTCCCGGGTTCTGAGCGCGATCAGCTGCGGTAGCTATATACGCATTGTGTCGATCCGGCTTCTGTGCGCAATCCGTAGCCGTGGCCATGTACACGTTGCGTCAATGCGAGTCGAGGTCTGATCCGCAAGAGTCTCTGTCGGACCCACTACTCTCGTTAT